GACTAGATGAACTCTAGGGGTCCCTTCCAACCCAAAACATTCTATGATTCTATGATAAGCAGCAAATCCTTACATAGGAGAAGGCTTCTGCAAAAGCTGTAAACCATTCGAAGAGACTCTAGATGGGTAAGAGAAATAAAAAGCTATCCATAACTTTTTGACAAAGCTTTGCCTAGCACACTACTATAAAGGGAAAAGTGTAATGTTCCTCTAACTGTACCTTCACATATATTTTCTAAGATCAAATTATGGTCAAATAGCCATGTAACTGTAATTTAAATTTTCTTCACACATTTTTACAACAGTCTCACTTCAGCAGTATTTACCATTATCGCTCCCAGCAGTCCAGGTTGTTTGCATAAGGTGTTATTTGCCAAGAACCTGTTACTTGAAAGGAAGACCTCTTCTGTCTGCACAGCAGATTTGTAGGTGGAGAAAAGGAGCCTTGCTGAGAGTAAAGTGGAGGGAACCAACATAATCACATACACATCATCCATAAATATCTAAGGAAGAACGGAGCAGAAAATGCATGAGGCATCCCTCTCTAATGGGACTCAACTACACTCACACTTTTTTCATAGGTGACAAGAAGAAATGACAGCATATAATTTCAACTAATTTGTTGTACAAGGATTGTTCATAAAGCTCCCACAAGGGCTGGAAGCCTAACTGTAGACAGACCTATCACACATAAGACAAACTTAAGTGTTTCTAGCCCTGTGTAACAGCTGAAGGAGTAAGACACAAATCAATACAACACTTAAAAGCTACCCTCAGGAAGATCAGCGGAATACGGCTGTGCAAGGAGAAATACCAACAGCTACACTATAAATAGCATGTCTGGATATACCTAACCATGACTTAACTTCACAATGTCTTAAAAGCTACTGAACTTTCTTAAGCAATGCAGTCTAACGTACAAAGAATACCCAGAGCACAACTGTTAATAATTCATTGCCAAAACAAAGGTATATGGAGAGAGGCTCCACATGATGTGTTCTTAGTTTGGTCCTATTCCATATCTCAGTCACTCTCCCGGAGACTGGATCAAGAGAGATGCTTCATTCATTCACAGACAACATGAAGCTGGGAAGGGCCATCAGTACACCACATGTTGGAAATCCAAATGGCCACAGCCAATAGGGAAAAAGGTCCTGAACAAAATTAGGATGTAGTTTGACAAAGGACAGCAGCACAAAAACAGAAAGGAAGGCTGCTTATCAGACTGCAATCTACTGGAAATGATCTGATGGTCAACACAGATCAACAAATTGAACATGAATTAGCAGGTTATCGATAAAAAGGTAGATGCCACACAAGGGGTAATCACCTTCTCAGCCACATTCAGCCTAACTCAGAATACAGTTTTGTTACAGCAGACTTCAGGATCAGCCACCCCCAAACAGCTATCGCTCCCAACAGGTTAATTATCACTTTGGTATCACTGGTATGACTCAGCAGCCAGTAACGAACCACGAACATTTATCTGACTCAAATGTTTGTTTCCTTTGCATTGGTAACATTTAGAGTAATACTGAATGTGAGGTACAATGACAGATATGCCAGTGATGTACTGAAGGAAAGAAAGAGTTCTGGTGCTCACTGAAGGACGGTGTTGTTCACAGGACATAATTCCCAGTTTAAGGGGAAAAAACCATTTCCATGTCTAAGGAAGAGAAACAGGCATTATGAAGAATTACAAAACTGTGCTCTGAATAAAGAAGGAATAAAATGAGTTTTGGAGTGAGATCATAAATTTCTCCTGACATCCAAGAAGACTTGAAGAGAAAGATCATGTATAAAAGCTACTACGTTCCCTCCAAGAGGATTATTCAAGTGCATCCCAAGAAATCTGAAGGTAACGGTTACTTCAAAAAGGGGGTACCTGAATGTGAATTATTAGGCAATCCCAGTTAGGCTCTCTCTGGCAAAGGCAGCTTGCTGGGGGGAAATTTCACAAAGCTCAAGACCTCAACTGATACCATGGAACCACGTATTTATCTCGGAGCAAGCAGATTTATGCCTGTGTAAGTAGACCAAGTACAGATTTTCTTTTATTTCTTCAAGCGTGTTTTACAAATGTGTGATTATATTACCATGTTTGGATATTACAAATAAATGTTCTTATTTCTAGTTTGCCTTAATCTGTCTTAACCTATGGCCCAGCTACCCAGCACAGACTCTGCAGTGTCCACAGGTAAGAAAGGTGCTTCCCCTTCCCATCGCACAGATCAGATTCGGGCACTGCAGGAATCGGGCAGGACCCAAGCGTACTCAGCGACTTGCAGCAACTAAAAAGGCTCTCTGACATGCAACAGGATATTAGAGTCCACACTTATCCCTTGCGACTGTTGGGGTCTAGGTCACAAGCAGACCTCCTGCTGACTGCTTCCCACAGAGGAGGTATCCTTGCTTACTCCCCACTCATGGGGAGCAGACCATGGGCTCTGAAACCTTGGCGTTATTTCAAAGGCAGGTGTGTGTGCAGAAACAAGCAGGGTAAGTATATATTATCAGAATGTGGGCATCTAAAACATTTTTAACTTGCACTATTCAAGAAATCAGACACTTTTTTCAGAATTCTTGAAATAGTATCTGAGATCTAAATGCAAACACATTGCATTAAGTAAGTTGCACTAGTTTTGATATCTTTGCTTCTGCTGTGTTTACATTCCCGTTCAATACAGAAAGACTTCAGTCTTGTTGCACAGATCCAGGCAGTACTTCAACCCAACTGATAAATGAGTTAGTGGAAACAGATTGAAGTGCTAATGTCCTTTTTACTGTTCTTTACTAGAAACATAAAAATGTGAAAACAATACTAAACCAACAGTTACTTTGGCTTCTGAACCTTAAAACGAACCCTCTGTTCTTTCTCTTTCAGGGACTGGACAAGGAAGATGTCAACTACTGTCATAGGAGAACTAAACTGTAAGTTACACTTCTATAAGACTAAAGAGTGGTAAGTGAAGTATTTTTCATTTTAGAGCAGGCAGTGGTTCTTGCAATATCTCTCATTCTAAGAATAAGCGGTTTAAATGATAGAAGATGCCTTTTGGATAACTAAAAAACATTTAGATCTTTTCCAATGCCAACTTCTGAAGCTACTACATTAATAAAGGTATTTTTTTCTCTTACATGAGTAACAATAATGTATTATGACCTTTTCTCTAAATATTAGAATTTTGCGTTTTCTCCTTATGTCAGAGTTTATTTCAGCTATTCACTATTGGATCTGTTTGCAAAATAGAAAGGATACACTTGGTAACATTCAAGATAAACACTATGATGAATCACACACTCTTGCAAGGTGTATATTTCCCGTACAAAAATATTTAAATTCATATACATGTGTTTGTGTGACACCATTTTTGTTGTACTTTTATAAGGTCTTGGACTATAAATTAGTGTGTACTAACTGAGTCTGGAGGGAATGTCTAAATTTCAAATACATCCCTATCTCTTTAAATCTATCATCTAGTTTCCAAGAGTTTAAAGGAAAAACAAACCCAAACCATTATTTAAGTGTGACCTGCACAAAACCAATGCTTTCTCTTCTATCACTGCAGAAACAAAAAGCAGAAAATTATGCTAAAATCATACTCCAGCACCTGCAAACATTGGAGCCACTGCTTAATCAATGTTCTCTTATCTTTGCTCTCCAACAAAGGCTTTAATATGTTAGACAGTGTGTGTTTTTTATAACGTAGACTTCAAAGCTTGCTGAGATCAAATGTTTCCTTTAAGAGGGCTCCAGTAGGCTTGGACACATCCAAGAAAAACATTTATATGGCATTGTACTCAACCACCTTCCACTCCTCTCTCCCTTTCTCTTAGGGCCCCATTTCTTTTTGAAATAATGCCACCACTGGGCTGAAAACAAGTTGAAGTTAAACACAGAAAGGCTAATTAGATAACTCAATGAACTTCTGAATCTTATCTAGAAAGGACTTTCCTGTTGAGCATATGCTATATGCTGAGAGTATGCTACACTGATATAGCATTATTCATATTATTCTGCTAGGCTACATGCAACAAGTATCTTTTAACAGGGACACTGCTAGATGCATTGTGTGTATACAGAGATGATCATTATGCTAATTTATTGTGACCCACCAGACAACACCTGCAGTAATGAAAATAACTTGGCTTAAACAGACAAATTCCAGCCCTGTGAACAGCTCTTTCTCTGGTAAAACAAAGCATAATTTTAAAGGAAAAAGGTCAAGACTGAAGCTGGAACAGGCAGGTATAATTTGCTAAACTAGTAATGACCCACTTCTACCCTCCTGGTTTCAGCTGTACTAAAGAGGTCCAAATTCTTTACTGTGGGAGAGCAGACAAGGTTACTCCCATAAATAACTTGACAGGTGAGATCAGATTTTCGCACAAAGCACAAATTGAAGGCAAAGAGGGAGATTTGGCTAAACTTACGTATCATTCAGGAGTCAGCCCACGCTCCTTATCTCCCCTCAATTTTATCTCCTCCCTGAATTACATCACCTGCAGAGCAGCATGTTCTGAGACCCTAGGGACAGAACTCACTGACCCTCCATGGGATTCACAGCATCACCATCCTTCCAGCTTCTGCCAGCAGAGCCGGAAAAATGACCAAGCTCTAAAAGTGCAATGAGTTAACACAGGGAAAAAATTCATAAATGAAAAAGTACATTACTCTCCTGTTTAACAGACATCACTTCTATTTGTATCATGTACCTGTTATCTACATGTGCCCCTAGAAACAACATAACTCTTTGGTCTACATTTTAATATTACGGTGCAAAAATTTAACCACCAGGTTCTCCCTGGCCATAACAGAAATCAAGTACTGTTCCTCTGGCATTTTGCTTAAAAAAAAAAAAATAAAATTGTATGCATTTTCAAAGAGATACATTTCTGAGATTAATGGACTGTCCAAAGAACCACAAAGAAATACTGCTGCCCTGAAATGCAAAACAAATCAAACATCAGAACCTGAGGTCAGAAAAGGCTGTACTTACTCCTTATTCCTGCTTTTAATGCACGGCTGGTAAAGGACTTTGACAGCATTCCAGGTCCCCACTTGTCCAGAGCTAGGCATGAAAATATCTCCAAACAGTGTAAAAACACTGCTGGAGAAGGAACTTCCTAGAGACTCCACCAGCAATGTGTCAGAATTTAAAAGCCATATCTATAAATGAAGAAATAGTTTATTTTACTGTAATTACATCAATTTCAGTTTGTTCCTTTACTCTGATCCTAAATCAGACTCATTCTTAACAAGTTTGTAACAAAGTGTTAACAGACATAAATTGACAACTTTATTATTCAGCACAGTCTGCACTGCCTGTAGTGGAGAAAAATGGGTTAACACAACAAACCGATGCCTGATTTATCACAGTCACTCTTAAGATCATTATTTTCGTGAAGCTGCCTCTTTTTGTGGCTGCAGCACATCCCCTTTGATAGTAACAAAAGAAACAGCCCCAAGTCATCTGTTTCAGTACCAAATGGATTATTTCTCTGATTTCATAGGGTTTTTAGAATTAGTGGAGCATATGGTATTGAACAACTGAGGGCTAAAGACAGAGAACTGAAAGACTGCCCACTGGAAGTGCCAAAAATTAATGTTTTTTAGAAAAAGCACAATAGTTATGACTAGATGGAGCTAAGACATGCAAGGAAAAAGACAATAACTAATGTGGTCTAAAAGGAAGGCCTGGATTTACAAACGGCTGTAACAAACCCTTACTTGGAAAACAAATCTTTATCAAATTTGATAATGGGACTGGCATTCTTCAGCACTACTTGCTCACAGCAATTCATGGGATATTTACCAGGGAGAGTTTTGAGAAATCTGAACTTTTTGCATCGCATTACGGATCTTATTTAATCTTTGTGTGATTGTGCATCAGTGTTCCAACTCGGATTCAGGGCTTTCATGCTAAGCACTGTGCAAAAAGTCAGGCTTTTCATTTATTCACAGCCTGCAGTAGTGAAGTGATCCGAGTTACCAATGGAAATCAATTTTTACAAGTCCTGAGCCTGTATGAAATGTTTATATATGAAATATTTATCATAGAAAACAGGATTTATGCAGTGCTGCTCACTAGAGAGTAATCTTCTGCTTCTCATGACCTAATCAGCTTCAAGTAAAACAAGTTACATGATATTAGGTAGCAGACATATGATATCCCCTGTGGAAGGAGAAAGCCACCGTTAACAGGACACATAGTATATGTTGTAATTGAATGTGACAGTCACAATTTATCTGAGCCCAAGGCTCAGAACATTACAGTGGAATCTTTATAAAGGAGGAATGAGATATATTGATAAAGATGTCTTGGGAGGGAATGGGAGGAGGAGAATCACTTTAGCATATCCACATAAATGATGACAAGCAACTGCACTTGGCTTAGCAAGAGGCTGTTCATCAGTTTTGCTCTGGTAACTTACTGTACACATTCATAGCCTAAACTGCAAAATACACCTCATTAGCTAGGACCATTACACACAGTGCTCTAAGCCAAGTGTTGAAGGAAATGGAGGAAAAAGAGAAGTGTCCTATACACACAGGTCACTGTCAACACACTTAGCTTCAACTAAGCAGAGTTCCTTGCTTTTGAAATTATTAACATTTCCCTGTGAAGGAGCCTCCTAGGATGCTTTTCAGAAGTGGAATATCCTGCAAACTAATCTAGGGAACAATGCAGCAATACCTGTCTGCTCCTTTCAGAACTCTTCTGCAACTTGCGTTAGAGAAAGGAATCAAACCATTTCATTTGCAACATGGTCCATCTGAAAAGTACTTCCTTCTACCACAAGTGTTGATATGTTGCATCTCTACCACTTGTTCAGAGTATGTCTTTGCCTCAACTGCAATGCAACAGATCTGTATTAATAATTTAACACACAATACAGAGAAAGCAAATGAATCTTTGCAGGTGGAAGGACACTTGACTATGAGAAAATCAACTTCTGAACTACATTTGCTTCTTTAGGCAGTAATTGCCAATTTCTCCTCCTGCATGAATTACTCTTTGATCTTCCTTCTGGTCTGAATGAACAATCACTCACCAAGACTCGGTGTGTTGACTCAAAGCAGTTTATTCATGTTACATTTATTTCTGGCTAACACAGTTTCAATTTTGATCTGTGCTTTCAATTATGTTACTCACAATGTACAATCTTTCCTTCCTCTCTACCACTTTGTACAGCAGAGCCTGCAAAACCGAATTCCTTTCGTATTAACTCCAGTAGAAAAAGAACTTTTACAGAAAGATAAATATATGAAGTTTAGAATTCATTCACAGTGTAGATCGACGACCTTTTCTGAAATGACAGCACCAGGAAAAAGTGTTTGGTTTTTTGTTGGTGTTTGTTCAGAGTTTTTTTGTTTTGTTTCGTTTTTTAAATCACCTTGTCAATAGGCTTCAAAGATGTTCTTAGGAGAAAAAGCTGCGACAAAACTCGGTTATACTTCATGGGACTTGATCCAAACAAGTGAAATGCTACAATTTACATTCTGTGATCAGTTTCCTAAAATCTCAACCTGTGTCTCCAGCATCTAGTTGTGGACAATTTGTCATCAATTAGAATTTAACACAGCTAAAAAAAGCTGTTGTTTTTCCTTGCTAGTTCTTTCTTAGTTACTGCAGACATTATCATTACTTTCATCATCACACAGGTCAGTAATACAAACATCTTTCATTACAGCTTCTTTGTCCTCACATTCAGACTGTTCAGATAAAAATGTGTCTTCCACATACTTCACAAAGAATAAAGCTCTCTAAGAGGGCTGGGTAGCTAAGTCTCAACAAGGTACTCATTATCTCACATCTTGATGACTGCAACGGCCCCCTCTCCAGCCTTGACAAATGCAAACTTGTTCTGCTCATGCTCTCCAAGACATGGTCCAAGAATCACTGATTGACAGGTCTCTCCCATTTCGTTACATATTTATTTTCTTGGGATATCTTCCCGCTCCCTCTCCACTCACTCCCGAAATACAAGCTGCCTTATTCTCAAAGCACTTTACAGCCTAATCCCACTCCAAAAAAATCTTTCGTTCAGTACTGAAAGACTGGAGCTAGTATTCAAACACTCCAAACTCTACTACACACTTCTTGATTTTCACAGATGTCTCTTTGGGTTTTATCAAGTTGATCCCATCCATGGGATGAATTCCCTGTATCTATCCACAAAACTACTTATTTACCTCTTTCAAACCTATCCTTTTGTACAGTACAGAAAAAAAATGACATCTGTTAAGATGCTGCTGTGCTGACCAATAATGTATCATTTTGCTTGTGTTCTCCTATCTCACTATCCATTTGCTGTACTCATCCTTAGCTTGTAAGTCATGTAACTTCAAGGTAGGAAACCCTTCAGCAGTGGAGCAAAAAGAGGCAGCAAGCGATTTATCTTTTAGAGAGCGTGAAGAGGGCAGAGATATAGTTAGGATAAATAAGGAAATCTGTATATGCCACCTTTTTTTTCCCTGAGACAAAGAGACTTTTAGTTATTGTCTTTATCCTTTAGTTATTGTATTAACCTTTAAGAAAAAAAACCAACATAAGTAGTATATGGCTTTAAGGAACTTGGTTATCACCAACTTAATGGAAACTCATATTATGATACCTGCAAATAACATACCTGGTAATGTTAAGTGATACATGCAAAAGAAATAAGGAAAATGGTTTAAAAAAAAAAAAAAGACTTGCATCATATATACAGCCTGAACTGTGTGCATTCACGTAAGCACCAACACTGCGAATGAGAATCTTTGGCTCACTGTCAAAACAAACAAGTAGGACAGCTGGTCCATGATGCCTCAGTGATGAGACCGCTTGTCTAACTTGACTGTGTACTCACAGCCTCAAGTACCTGCATTTTTTACCATTTAGCTGTTTGCAATCATTAATATAAATGGTACTTACATTATAGTTGTCTCCACAAGGCCTCTGAGTCCTAAGACTTAACCCATGACTCCAGAACACCTGCTGGTGTGCATACAGTACCTAGAACCTCACCCTGGACATGAGTAAGGGCTTTCTGATGTTAAACACACAAAAAAATTACTAATAACTCACTAATAAAAAGGATGCCAATCAGAAGCTAGTCCCTATGCTAATTCAGCCTGCTCCTTTGATCAATACATAAGCAAAAATGAAACTCAAGAGCTGAGAGTAATGGCGATCTGCTAAATAAGGTGATTTCTCTCTTAGAAAATAACTAGTTTGTTCTATATAAGCTACTAGACTTAAGCATCAGAATATTAGGTAACTCAGAAACACATAAGCTACAACCATTTTTAATGACTCCTCAATTAGATTATACATAGTGACAATTATAGGTCTGCTCATGAGACCTTATTTTATCATCATGGAAGTATTTCTCAGTGGTTGCATAAATGTTATCTTGGCACTAAAATTTATTTAAAAGCAATAGATATACACTTACCTCAGAATAAGGATGTTTGGAGATTATAGAACTTGGACAATGTATATATAAAACAGTTTATTTAATTAGATTGCCTATCTCAACAAAGTGCATCTCTAAGTTTATCCAGGGCAGGAATCTACAATCATGTATTTCTTTATCTTTCTGTCTATGAGTTACTCATACAAACTGCAAAATTACAAATTCTGTGCCTATATTTAGTTCATGAATAAAAGAAAACATCCCTGGTTATACCAAGTGTATAGTATTAAGATAATTCCAGACCCAAATTCCTATCCATCTTTAAAGTCTGAGGAATTTAGCTGTCACTATTTAAATATCAAGCTTAACCAAGTTTAACAGCATTAGAACATTAAGTATAATAGGCAATTTTATTTTTGTTTGCACTTCACTTTGCAATGCAATGTACAGACTACATCAGTAGTCTCTGCTGACTTAAGACAATATTTGTGAAAGATGATATACAATTTGATGAACTTCTGGTGATTAAAGATAAGAAGCACTGGAGCAAGAAGATGATATATATATTATGAAATCAAAACCTTCCATAAGCTTTTCCTATGTTTTGAATACAAGTGTTATTTCTGTGCTACTTGTGGTGCATCTGCAGTATTTTCGTTACTATATTAATATAAGAAAATTTCTATATGTACATTTACTTAGATTAGAAAATGGGGGGAGGAAGTTTCTTACTTGAACAGAACTCTTCAGAACTACTTCAAGAATTTGAATTTGTTAATTTTCTTTAAACATACAATCATGAACAGCATAAATAATACATTTTAGGAGCTGGGATTCATAGGTTAAAATTTCTCAGCAGGATAAAAATTAAAAAAACCCCAACAACTTACCAGAATATAGGTTTTTCCATTATCCCCTTTTACAGTGAATCTAAACGTGCTTTTAGCAGAGGACAATTCCACAAGACACTGAGCAACCAAGCTCTGCACAAACTGACACCTGTTTAAGAATCAACCACATATTATGTTTTCATAACAACTACATGGGCAGTCATTCATATCGATGCAGTATATTTTATATACACACACACACATATATATATACACACACTTATATATACTTATATATAAGTATATGAGTATCTCCATACTGCCAATTCCACTACATCCTACAATCACCTTTTATTGAGAGGTGAGGCTTCTTTGCCAATTCCACTACATCCTACAATCACCTTTTATTGAGAGGTGAGGCTTCTTTGCCAATTCCACTACATCCTACAATCACCTTTTATTGAGAGGTGAGGCTTCTTTGCCAATTCCACTACATCCTACAATCACCTTTTATTGAGAGGTGAGGCTTCTTTACCTTTCTCTGCCTCAAAACCAGAGGACTTTCTATTTCCTGCAACAGGAATTTCTTAATAGATCAGTAGTCTAAATTGCTCCACATCCTTTATTTTGACCAACACCAAATATCAAATGCTGAATAAAAGCTTTTCCCTATTATATTTTACACATATGAAGACAAAGTTCAGAATGATGCACATATTTGAAATATCATTCACAAAAGGAAAGAACTGTGACTAACGCATAGTACAATACAAGATAACTAGATCAAGTTCTGTTTCATCTTAGTCTTAACTTCAAACTGCATTACTTGAAAATTAAAAAATCTCATTTCCTATTAAACTTTTCAAGCTTTACTTAATTTAACTTTACATATTGTAACCTTTCATTTCCACAGTTAGCCACCAGACACCATGCAAACTTAAATAGTTCAAAATAAGTAAGTATTGTATTTTGGCTTATCACCAGAATAGTGAGACACTGCAACAAATTATACACAATCTCTCTCCTGAGTCACGCTGTTGTGGTTTAACCCCAGCTGGCAGCTAAGGTTAAACCACAACATACACACACAAAGATAAGCAAACAAAATTGTACATGAGTGAATTCAGACTACATTACCTTTACAATGCTTAATTCTGTGATGATTATGTAAAATTTGACAGCACTTTATTATTACATGTAATTATTCAGGAAACTAAAATGTTAGTGCATTTCTAGCACCCTTTCTAAAACATAAATCTGAGCAAATGATCTGATTTTTTTAATTTGTATTTGTTACCTCGGTGTTGGACTGAAACTTGCCTCAGATGGTTGAATAATCACCTCGGTGACATAATATTTAATGGTATCTAAAATAACAAAAAGATTTTTCAAGTACAACAGAACAACCAACTTGTTAAGAGTAGACTGTAACTCACTGTTATCACTATACTAATTAAACTTCTGTTCAGCGTTCAATTAAGAGGTACAGCAGATGGTCAAATTCTGCTTTGGTTTGTGGGAGAAGAAGCAACCAAAACTAGAAAACATGCATTGCCAGAAGAAAACTGCTCTGAGCTAATTACATGACCAGCAATTTGTCATTCATATTGATCCTTGCTTAAAGCTGGGAACAATCATCTTCAAACAAAGCAAGCAAGAGCTCAAGCCAAACCTGAAAGATGAATTGAAAGAACTTTCCTAAAGCACTGAAATCAGCATAGCTTACGTAAGTATTTTAGTACCCTCCGCTGCTCAGTAATGCTGCAGTGAATCACAAGAGACAATTTTAATAACAGCACACACAGGGGAATAATTTCCTTCTTTGCTCAAAGAGCAGAATAGAACTTCTTTCCAGAAATCACACTATCTCAACACTAATACTGTATACATTCTGAATTTCAATATAACTGTTCCCCAAAAGCTCCACTAAGACAGCCTTTAACACTAAATGAAAGTGTTTCAGTACTGAATTTAATCCCCATCAATAAAGTCAGGTCAAAGATATCGAAGCTTTGGGTCTATGCTACAAACACAGCCTAACTAGAGGGCTAGCAGAACAGGTTAAGCATATAGAACAATAAATTAATTCCACTAAGCCTCAGTATGTCAACAACAGTAAAGATTCATCAGTTCCATAAATTTTAAGGGTGGAAAGGATTGTCTCACCTGATCTCTGTCAAAACACACCATTAAAACTGGATGGAAGCAAGCATTTCAGGAAGACACTTAATCAGTTTTAAAGATTCCACAGGCTTGGTACTCCTAACCCTTCTCCAGATAAGCACTACACTTTTTTAATTATCCTCACTGTTAGGAAATTATATTTTACCTCTAAGTTTAATTTTAGCCTGCTACATGCTGTGACTAGTCCTGGGAGGCAGGAGGAAAAGAAGCCAGTTCAGTGACTCTAGCTCCCCAGCTGTTACCCTGAGTAAAGAATCGGTGCTACTGCTGCAAGGGCACTGCGAATTAAGGAGATGTTTGCTTGCAGAGAGATAGGTGGGATTTCCCAAGAAAAAAATCTTATGAGTACATGGGGATAGAGTTGGGGGAAGGAATAGCTGGCAGGGGACTTTCAAAGCCAAATCTGACCTCCACAGCTACACCACTCTAATCCAGATTTTATCTTCAAGGCACTAACATCTTCTCATGAGGAAGCACCAAAACACGAGTCAAGACTACTCTCTAGTCTCTTTTCAGAGATGGTTCTGTCTAGACTTATACCATGCATCTCTGGTTAGTTTTTTTTGTCTGTTCTTTGAACTCTATGTAAGTTTCCTACAGTACTGAAGAAACGTGGTCAAAACAATGGACATGCTATCTAACTTCAGTCACGTACTGAGTCCAGGCAATCCCTGCACATCTACACTGCCTTCTCCCATACCCACTGCTCACATCAGCTACTGGTTGGTAAAACCACCTGAAGGCTTAATTAAGGCATCTGTTACTCATGATGATCTGTGAACCTCTTTTCCAACCACTGCTTTCCCAAAGTGACAACCTACTTTGTGAGCTTTCAAACAACTTACCTCACAGTTGGTTTTATTAAAGCCTGTATTGTTTGGATCCCTGTACGGGACAATCAGAACCTTCTGTAACAGAAGACCTTCTGTCTTGCGTCTCCTCATGACTTATTTTTTAAACAGGCTTTGCATTTTCTGATAAGTTTTTATATTCTCCAGACCTCTGAACTGAGCCAGGCTCATACTGACTGATGCAGTGGAGTAGAGGGAGAATGAAAGAATGAACGCTGCATTTTAAAAACTACCAGAGACTCGTCTTTCTACTACTTCAGGTAAATCCTGCTGATTCAATATAATAACAGCTTTTAAACCAACAAACTCATCACCTCATCATTGGATGACGATGAGAGATAACCTGTTTCTTTGACAAGCCTTCCTTTCCATGAAAACAGGCTGGCTGTTAGCAATCATATCTTTAGCTTCTAGTCCTGTGCTGATCAAGTTCTGAATTAACCATCCCATTGTTCTGTAGGACTGACAGCACAATAAACAACCTGTAATTTCACAGGTCTCCTTTTTCATTGGGATTCCTAGTAAACTGGAATCATGCACTGAGTTTTCCAAAGCTTTGGAATTAGCCAAATCTGCCACAGAAACAAGGATGAGGAAAATCCCTGTTGTAAGTCACTTCCAAGGTCTAACAGTGGAAGCAACAACCTCATCTGTTCTAGAAGTGAGTGACACAGGAATCAGCCCTGCATCTTACTGATAAAACTACTTTCCTCCAGAGCTTTTAACCTCCAGTGCTCAATGGCTGATGCAGTGAAGTCTAGTTTGGTTTGTACAACCCATACCTGATGATACGGTCTCTCCCAGCATTGTCTTGCAGCGCTTACAAATTACTCTGGTATTTTCCTTTGATTTCTATAGGACAAAGAAATGTCATTTAAATGTCACTCAGTTATTCTGAAAAATGAATGTATAATATTAACATACTCTCCAGAGTAGATAGTGAACTTTGTACTTGTTTCTGTTCTCTTTATGTTTACATACAGACAGATCTGCATTCACTACTTCAGCTTTCTGCACTTTGACTTGCTTGCAAGTTCCATACTAGTTTTAAAATATGGCAGTATATACTGGCCACAGCACAATCTGTAATAGCTAACAGAAGAATCTCCTAGTACTGAACGACTGGATGATAAAATTACAAGGTAAATTCGATTTTGATAAGGGCAAAATAATGCACACAAAAATAAAGTATTCCAAAATATATGCATAAAATATGCTGCCATGTGACTACCATCACTCAGTAAAAAGTTCTAGCCACTGTGGACAGTTTTATAGGAATACCAGTTCAATGTTCAGCAGAGAGCAGAAAATGTCCACAGAGTATTTTGAATTACTAGGAAACAGCTGAAGAATACAGCATAGCATGATACTCCAGAAAGGTGCAGTGGATTCTGTTCTTGAACAACCTGTCTCCCTCAATTCAAGCAGAAACAGAAAAGGTATTGACAAAGAATAAGAATAATAGTCAGAGATGCAAAACCATTTCTATGTGTGGCAAGAAAACACATGTAATGGGAGAAAGCATGAAAGAGAAAACTGAGAGGTATCATTCAGATGTATAAGATCACAAAGCTTTAGGAAAAGCTGGAGAGGAAAAAACCATGTACTCTCATAGCTCATGCTATGAAATCATAAGCTAGTTTGTATCAAAGAAAAGGAAGGTATTTGTCACACAATACATAATATAGTTTGGTACTCACTACAGGAAAGTATTTTTCACCTTAAAAGTATACCTAAATTCAAAAAGTCTTCAGAAATTCAGGGCAAGCAATGTTAATCAAGGGCTTATTTAAAACAAAAATTTTAGATAACATCTAGTTCAAAAGTCTCTACACTGGCCAAAACATCACTCAGTAGTTGCCTTACTCTTACGCATCCCTTACTGCCCACTGAAAAAGATCTCATTGTGGGATGAACCTGTGATCTGCCCTAGTAACACTCCTACTAATTCCAGTGTCAATATTTAAATTCAGTATCAGTATAAAGATACAAGTAAGCACAACTCCTACTTTAATCCAAAGTCTAAGCTCTAGAACTGGTTCTGTATGGGCTTATTAACCTGAGTGTAGCACAGTACAGCTCTGGTCTGGAAGCAGTATACATATACAATCACAATGATGCTCCTGAGTTAATAAACCCTTCTGGGGATAGAAATCCTGAGAATGTAATGAGAAGACACCTAAATTGGATTTTTACATGTGGTCTTTGTATAATCACCTTCATAATCATTCATACAGTATACAGAGCATAAGAATACCCACATGTAGTTAAACAACTACTGTTTTATTGGTTTGATTTTTAAGTCCAAACAAGTCACTATCAACTTGAGAAATTATATCACAGCACATGCCTACAAAAATAATATCTAAATTTAGCATAAATGAACCTAGGGGAGGAGGGGAAAACACTCTAAATTTATCTTTTTCTGTAAAAGATGGCAACAGTTCCCATGGATTCCAACTGGAGTGAACACACATGTGCACTTCGGGGAGCACAGTTTTTCTTCATCACCACTATCACACTCCTTAGTATTCAAATTTTAAAATGTATGATGATGTGTTGGACTGATGTCCAGAACAAAAAGTGGTGCTCTGTGGCCTATCACATCACAAAATTATTTTTAAAAGAAAAAAAAAAGAGCAGCATGAAGTAAATCCAATGGCCCTAGCTATGCCAGGTACACTTTTCGTCTTACAAAGGTAAGTTTTGAGGTATATCCATTACGGCTGTCTTCAGAACCCGGATTATGGACTTTCAGACAATACAGATTTCCAAACACAATTATCCTAATCAAAAAATTGAATAATGTGTTGTTAATTGATTTATTCTAATTCAGGTGCCTCGAAGGACATGTAGTCTGTGATTAGACCATTGATGAAAGAGATTACAGACAAGTCAAATAGACACACTGGGCCATTTTTTTCAGTTACTCTATGGAAAAGTGTAAGTACCTCCTGCTGCAATGGTAGGGAAGGGGTAAACAAGGGAGATAGAGAAGTTATACACACAGTCTGGATCATTAAGTAGCTTGTGCTTAGTCTAATAATCTGCACTAAAATATAGTCAAATGCCAAAACATATATTCAGGAACAACAAAGCCAGTGATGATAAAACAAAGGACAGCAAAATCAAAAGAATTTAGATGATGGTAGCTAACCAAACCAGAGTTACTAATGCGATCCTACAAAAGAAAGGGCAAATACGATCTCTAAACACATGAACAACTGAGTAGTTGATACGGATAAACAGAAAAATATAACAACCTCAGAATTAGTGAGATGATTACTGCAAAAATAGATCTATAAAGTATGTTAAAAATTTGGAAAATGGTTTGGAAAACTGCTACAAAAATGATTTCTAGAAAATAAATACACCTTAGAGATAAAAAGAGATACAGAGTTGCAACTCTTAGTGTGCTTAATTTAGTAAGAAGGCAGCAAAGAGTCAGGATGATTAACCACTGAAACAGCTGACCAAGGAATGTGATAAAGCTTCCATCATTTGAAGTATTAAATCAATACTGGATGTCTTTCTCAAAGCTACAGTTCAGGCAGAACTGATTGATTTGATGCTGGAAATACGTAACAGAGTTCTCAGATCTGCACTATGCAAATAATAAAATGAACAGAAACGACCACTCTAGCTCTGCAAAAAACAGAAAGCGTCCCACATGGAATCTGATCTTATGATCACAAAGTCCTGCTTGTTCCTCACAAACGACGAATCAAACTGAAAGCCCCAGGGAAAGCCTGACAGCCTCTGTTAAAGCTTCAGAGAGCTGACTGTTTGGAAATACAGGCCCCTTGTTATGGAGATCAAAAAACCCATCTGGTTGATATATATGCAGTTATCCCCTTTCCCAGTTTCTACCTCACTACTCCTCTCAAACATGCACAATAAAATGACTTGCTTAATGCGAAGAGCAAAGATAAGTAGGCAGGGTTTTGTGAAAACCAGTATTTGAGCTTGGTACAAATGTTGCACAGTACAAGTATACAATATACAGTACTTCCTTGAAAGCTACAACTTGAATGTTTTTTTTCTGACTACTGTTACAGGTGCCAGCTGAGAAGTGTGCAGTATGGTACCTAAAAAACACCACTAACTTATTGTATCATGCTTCAACAGAAAAAATGATAGTTTTAGCTAGACTAATTAAATCAATATATCTATTTGACAACTTGCAGCTGCTGGCAATCTGCAGATGGAGGTGGATCACCAGCCTAATATTTTCTGTTTCTATTCCTAAGGATCCCTGATATGGTGTCAGGGAAAATATTTTCCTCAGGAGACACTATTAGGATGCTGCAAGACCATGTGACATTTAAAAACTATGTTACACTGGAAGACTAATAGATGTGAGAAATATGTTTGCAAGGGATGGATGCTGTCTTGGTCCCACTGGAGGCTGGAAAAGATTGCTTAAGCATCTCTGGTACATTCCTGCTACTATTTTAGTCATAGGCAAACACTTTCCGAAGAACTGCGATGCAATTAAAAAAGAACTTTAATACCGGAGCAGACTGCAACAATATTCTCTGAAATGAGAACATTTATGCCAATAGCAATCTATCTTGCCTGTAACTTTCTGTTAGTCATATTATGGAAGAATTTTCTGTTTCAGTATTAAGGTGTTTTTTTTTCCTTATTAGTCCAGTTTCTGCTGGATCTTACAATTTTGCTCATTTGCTTGGCAACCGAGTGATGCCGGAAATAAGCAAACACAGAAATGAGAATTCATTGCAAGTGTGAAAGATGTTGAAAGAGGGATTTGACACAAACAAGGAAAGAATTCTCAACTTCAATGCAAGTTTAAAGAAGCAAACATGAAAATTCATCACACTGAACTACTATTGTATGCCTCTGACAGAAAACAGCCTCCTCCCTCATTCAAAAGTTCTGCTGTTATCCTGCTTTGACCCACATCTCAGCAACATCTTTGTCCCACATACTTTTATCATGTTTCTGCCTCAAAACCAACCCTCTTCTGGCAAACATTCTCTTTGATTGATTGAAGAAGTGTGTTGGGTGGACTGCTCTCCTGTCTTTGGGCTGCAGTATGAACTCCATGCACCCTGCCTCTTCCTGTCTTTGTTCCCATTGTTCTAGGAACTCTTTTGAGACTACTGAAATGTGAGATAATTCATTTTGGGGACCTCTGGCAGAAAGCATTGCCCTCTTGGAAATTTGGAATCTTCTGCTTAGCCTCCTTCTTAAGGATACTTAGAAGAAATAACTCCAATTGCCACAGAGTTAATCCAAATTAATCGGCTTCTCCCATGCTGATATCCTTTCAGGGTATCAGTTCTTAATTTTCCCTCCCCATATTCTGCTTTTCAAAGAACAATGGAACAAGAAACCAAAGGGACCACAGCTGCAAGACTTGCAGATATGGCCCGTAGGACAGAACTATTTCCCAAGCAGATGGCTCGCTTGGATGCATTGCGTTGAACTGTGAAAATCACAGTGATTTAACTGGGGATAATACAAATCCCTAATGATGGTAAGCAGCAGCAGCAGACAGGAATCAGGGTCTCTGGCGTTACTTCTCAACAGATTAAAAGTTTCATGTTGGGAATCTGTACATAGCAAGTCATCAGCTGCTACAAGTTGCCAAGGCAGCAACAGTTCCCATAACTGTAGAAGGATTTCAGTAATTAGTTTTAATAGATGGTGTTGGAAGAAAAGATGGTATCCGCAGGCCCAACGTTTGTCAGCACAAATACAGACAAGCAGTAGATTAACCGAAAAGGCTTTATGGAAATGCAGGCTTTGGTGAACTAAGTTCCTGGATGTTCTTCTGGTAGAAGAAAAGATTATTGCTTGAACTTCTATACAAGTGCTAGATTTCCAAGATGAGTAAAGCACTGAATTTTCTTTCTTCATGGGTTTTATCGCACCATTGAAATATCAGTATCCCTACAAATGTTTCTTTCCTGGGCAACAACAAATTTTGATGTTTCTAAGCTAAATGACAGCCTTCTTCCTAGAGACTCAGCTGATGGACATATCCCCTCCTGGAACATTTCAGAAACATCTACATGAAGAGTTATAACCTGGGGTGGCAGGTCCCTTTCACTAGGCAGAGTAGTCAAACTCAGTTTCCTTACTATATTCTAAGAGTGTAAGATAGCCACATCTGAAGCCAAAACACATTCTGATTTTTCCAAGTCTTTCTAAAGCTAAAAAAACCACCTTCCTTTGATCATACTTATAGTTATGCATCCAGTCATAGTTTGAGATGAAAAACCACTGTTACTCTAGTTTCCTCCTCATTCTTCACTCCACTACCCTTTGACAACACCTTACAGTTATTATCTTACTAAATGTTGATGTCCTTCACTCAGGATATTTTGGAGGGGAACTATCTGGGTTTAGAACTACATAATTAAATAGTTTCTAATTCAGTTTATAGGAAGAAATTCTTCTTGTATATCCAGGTGAATATCAAGACCTTTAGACCATGTAAATCATAGCTTAGAATATTTCCTAGCTTCTGTACTACAGAACGTCAACAGCTCCCTATCACCTTCAAAACAGCTCTGTAATACATACAAGTTAATTAAACCAGTAACAAAAAAAAGTGTTCTACAAAAAAAAAAAGTCCAAATACATTCTCTTAAGAATTATTCAAACAAAATACTTTACCAAGTTGGAGCCACTTTGGGAAGCGCGATATCCAATCTCTGAGTGGCACATGGGAGATTCAGGCATATGTGAATCATTTCCTGAATTCAAGAGAAAAAAAGTGTCTCCAAGAAAACAGTCATCATACTGAGGGTGCAAAGTGCTTCTGGCAAAGGGGTTAGGGTGACAACACCACTCTTCAACTAAAGCACTCCAGTTTTCACTTGGTAGAGGAAGAACTCTAAGAAATTTCCTAAGAGGGAAGAAGAAAAAAAATATTTCAATACATTATATTATTTTCTAAGACACTAAAAGAGAGCTTAGACTCCTTACAAAAAGGGGGGCGGGGCGGGGGGGGAAGGATGGCATTTTCTGAAAAGGAAGTGCTTGACTCTCCTTTCAGTCAGAGGCACTTTCTTTGGATGAATTCTGAGAAAGCAATGGCTGAGTGTTTCCTGCCAAGTTTGTGATGAAGCATTTCCCAAGGGTGAATCTTCAATGACTATAAGGCAGAACTTGGCATAATCCTCTCTTGAAATGAATCACATGGCAAAAATAAAACAGTTCTATCCAGTCATGAAAAATATAACAATGGACATTTTGCAATTATATTTATTATTACTTCTTGTAAAGTTCCCTTGCCAAATGTTGATATGAAAACAACAGAAACAAACTGTTGCCACAGCAAGGGAGAGCATGTCCTCAAAGCCCCTCAAAGTCAGATAACAGCCTTTGAAAAAGCTAAATCCTGACAAAAATACCATAGTATATCTTCATTTAAAAAAAAAAAAAAAAGATAATGCAATCTTAATTTAGATTCAGATTCATCTTTCAGAAGTCAGAAACAAAAAAATCTGAATCCCTTTCTCCTGGACAAAGGCTGTTCCAGGCAATACTTAGCTTTCATTATCAGTATTGGTTTTAACTTACTTTCTTTGGTTACACACAGCGCCAGAGGATTTTATAAGCCAAGGTTTGGAATCACTGCTTTAAGTTGTAAAATGCTCTTAAAGCTAGAATATATACATGTGGCTATATAAACGCCAGCTTGGTCATTTTGAGTGAGTAGTCAATACTTTCCTGCCATTCTGTGTTCCTGCTGTTCCTATAGCCATTCTGTGATACCACCACATGTGTTTTTATTAAGAATGTACAAGTATTGATAGATACTGTCCACATATTTACACTTTCTTTAATCTGTGTTTTCAAGAAAACTATTAGACTGGAAAGAAATTCAGCCCCTTTACCAAAACAATGGGCAATGGCTTTAACAGTGTGCTCCTCTCCAACAGTTTTCCAGACATACTGTTTGCTGCAGAGCTGTGCTTTCTGCTGTCTGACTAGTTTCCTTGAATGCTTTCCTTTTGTTCCCTTATTTCTTCTGCTGTTGCCTGAAACCTTTACATAGAGTTTCTTGATTCTACCCCTTAATTAAAACGTGCAAGTACAACTTTGCTTATGCTGCTACTTCACAAATAAACACACAGCTGCTAAGCCAACAGTTAGACACCCTCCATTTCTTGCAGTTCACAGACTATTCTTTTCTGAAGATGTCAGTTCTTCCCATTGTAGTTTCTTGTGCCTTTTGTATTGTCAGGTGGGTGAAAGTAAAATCTTCTACAAAAACTTCTTTCTTTCCAGATTAACAACACATTTTAAACTGTGCTTGCTCCACCTGCAGATGAAAGTTGGAATAACTGGTCCTCTGACCCAGGTTTACCATAACTAAGATCACCTCTTGGCACTACCCATCACTGCCTTAACTCTCTGTGGTCTTATACATTGCCTGAGACACAACCACTATTCTGCCATGGTGGGACCTTAATTCTGGTGTTGGCCTAATGACTGATTATTTGTCAGCTTTGTATGATTAGTTCCAATGCCTGGACTCATACTGAAAAAAAGAAGTCTTCATTCCTATGTATTGCTCTTTGCACTACACCAACAAAAAGCTGGTATTACTCAGCAATGTTTTCTAAAGCATTACATACAGGGGGGAAAAAAGTCAGATATTACCTTAAGCTGCAGACTAATGCTGTCCAGTTCCATTACATTACCCTTTCTTTACCCTCACAGTCTAGAGCATCAAGATCTTGAATTCTTGCCCAACAAAAGCAGTTGCTCTAACCAGTAGGAATTTGCTAAACAGACTCCTTCTAACTTCGAGCTATACAGAAAATATAGCATTTCCACTATATTTTAGGCTTTTACTATTCATATGCAGGAAGCCATATTCTGGATCACTAGAACTGGAAAAATGTAACACTAATAAAGCTGTAGGTTTTCAGAAAAAAAAAACAAACCTTGAAGTTTACTGGGTGCTGACTAACTTGAGGCTGCTAAATACAGGGATAAAACCTGGCTAACAGGGGGCTTACCTCCCCAAACTTGCTCCTAATAACAACTGGGTTTCTACTTTAAGATAGCCACCTAGACTGCCTTCACAGTCAGAATGCGACAAACAATTCTTAGGTTGGGAACTTTAAGAGAAACTTTCTCCTTCTGAAAGTGTCTGGAAATAGTTCTGACTCCAAACAGACAAAGCCTAGGCAATTAACTTAATTTTAAAGAGCTAGAAGTTAGGCACTAGTCTAAAAGAGTCCTGCCATAAGGATGTAATTCTTAGTGGGCTTCCATGCTAAGGTAAATATTTGACCATAGAGATCCTTACAAGACCGGACTAAGAAAAATAATCTCTAACACCATTATTAACTAATATCCAAGAACCTTGTAATATCATCCTATCTACTGAAAATTCTGAAAACTGTAAGTGAAATGGACTTTAGACTTTTAAACATATAACCCTTCTGTTCCATCAGAGAAAAAGAGAAAGAAAAAAGATACAGCTGAATTCCTTTTAACAGAAGTCTTCCTTATCTACCTACTAAAAAATCTTGAACAGCTCAGCTTGACGTTTAATTATCATGCTTAAAGCTATGTATGTAGGAAAAGCGTAATTAGAAGATTTCTTCTGCCATCAGTTTTTCAACAGAATACTTACACAGTACAAATTCTTGCCTTTTGGACTAAGGAAAAGGTTTATGGCTTAATAGTCAATTTATGAAATTTATTTTTCACAACGTTCAGCCTTTCAGAATTTCTTCATGTGAGAAATAAAGCCTTAAAGAATTATTTTATATATGAACTACACTTAGTCTAAATGGAAGGAGAGAAAGAAAAAAGAGGGTATCCCAAATTCTTTGCAGCAATTAAATCATGAAGAAAAAAAAAATCTAATCACTTCCTCTGTGGATAATGTGAGGGTAACAGAGAAGAATCAGAGAGCATAACCCTAACCTCTGAAGAGCTATCAGATTCACAGAAGGAAACAGACTAAGCCAGGGGATTTCAGAAAATGTATAGGGTCCATTTGCTTGCATCAAGGAAGGATCACTTACATTTAAACCATTCCTAACATATTTCTCTAATCTAGTCTTTAAAATGATGGCTTCCTATGCAGTCTCTTAACAATAAAAAATAAGCTTTAGAACAGGTTTTGTTTGGGTTTTTTTTCTTCATTTTAACCTAAATTACTCTTGCTTCAGCTGAAGACTACTGTCACCTTCTTTGCACCAGCTTCTTACACATTGAACAAGTCTTATGTTTTCTCCACAGCCTTATCTAGACTATATCACATTTATTTAAATTTCTTCTCAAAAGTATCATTTTCTAGATCTCAGATTTTTCTTATTAGAGACCCTCTCCTAGTAACTCACACTTTAATAAGTTCCCCCTCACGCATTTCTGTAACTTGCCTTCAATCCCACCACCTGTGCTGCCATTGCCATACTCACTCTCCCTGGAGAGACCAACACACAAATTCTGCAACTAAAAGTACTGACTACGCTACTGTCTTCCTTTTAGAAGTGCCAGAAGAGAAGGTGTTGGATACGATGGCAGCTCCACTCTTCTACCCTTGTCTTAATCAGTATTTTTTTAGTGATAACATTTGAGGGGCTCAGAGATTCCCTGCAGGGAGAAGTGCCAAGCAATGAGCCATGAACATGTCTTCTTTTTCCTTTCTCAAAAATTCTGACTGTGTCACGTTATAGGATGCAGAACTAAAGGATGTAAACTCCATGCGTATGAATTTGATGTGCTGAAGTACAGGAAAACGCCCACACAGAGACAAAAATATAAAAGTGCAATATCTTTTGAAAGCAAATGTTACTGACTAGAAATTAGAAGTTTCATTACTCTACAAATGTATCAAAATAAGAGTTATTACTAGACTTTCTGATGAGTCATTTCAGAAGAGAAAGCCAGGAAATCCTCATTCAGTTACACTCAAGCCAGGCATAAATCTACATGTATGACAAGAAAGTAACAGGAGTTTACAGAATATACCACATTTGTGTTATCATTTTGAGTATTAGGAGTGACACAGATCATAAAAGGCTGCAAGTGAATCTCTAACAATTCTTATATATCCAGTTGAAGCTGCCAAAATTGCTCATCAGAAGAGCCGGAAAATGCAGCAGCTTTTTATTAAAATTCTCATTTGCTCTGCAGACTTTGTAGGGAACAGAGATAAGGTCAAGTCACACAGCTAAGAAACAGCTCCTGTGTTTCCCACATTTGGTATCCCTGAACTATGTGGAGGTTGGCTTTGCTTAACAGACAGAAGGGAGCTGTGGTCTGCATCGCCATTCTCAGCAGCCACTCTGTAACTACAGCATGATGACTGAAGGGAATTTATAAGAGACTGAGCAGAACTGAAGAGGATTCCTGAAGTGCAGAGGAAGAAAAAAGCGTAGGCTTAAATTTTCAATTTTATTCCTTTCGACATAGCAAAGATGTCAGCTACTAAGAGACTATGTGTATTTTTTAAATCAATTAAAACTACGAACATTTGCAATATTTCCAGGCCAAAATGTTACAGCTTTTTATTTGTGCAGCACAACCAGAAGCTATTATGATGAATGCAAAGAGATTCTGTATGAACAAAGAGCACAGATCTCAAAGCAGAATTTTTACACATAGGGAAGCCCAGCTAGAAAAGGAGATGTCTCATTCGAAGCATAGCAGACAAGCAGGAAAAGAATCCAGAATTCCCAGCTTCCAGGGCAATGCACCAAACTCCTTTTGTAAGGTAACTGCTACTTTCCAGTCAGAATGAAATCAAGAAGTAAATGAATAAATGGTGAAAAACTGTTTCAGGTAATTTTGCTCTTAGTCAT